GTTAGGGGGAGGGGGGGGGGGGTAATGGATATGATTGAGCGTTATAGTAGTGCTGGTACTGTGGATGGTCTAACTCTCATGGACCAACTAAAGTTGTTTCGTGAGCATGAAGGTAGTTTTGGTAGAAAACTTGCTTTCGCTTCTCGCAATACTACTCGTCCAGGTAACTTTTTTTTTCAACTTTTTGTTAATAGCGAATGATAGTAAAAATATTATAATAATATTTTGTTATTTTCCATTAGATGAATGGTGGAAATTACATGTTGGAGATGCTCCGGAATTGCAAAAATTTGCAATTCGAATTTTAAGCCAAACTGCTTCTTATTCCGGGTGTGAAAGGAATTGGAGTGTCTTTGAGAGAATCCACACTAAAAGACTTAATGACCTTGTTTATGTTCATTATAATTTGCGTCTACAAAATAGGTAATGTATACTTTCAAACTTTCTTTTTTCATTTTCTTTATTTATGTGTAAAAGTATATTAATATTTTTCTCTAGGCTCAAGGATTACAAAAAAGTCTTATGATCCGATCGATTATGAAAGTATTGATAAAATCGAGTTTTGGGTGGTTGATGAAATACCGGAAGGTGAACTAAGTTATAATGAATTGGAAAATATGGTTGAAGAAGAACCACCAAACTACAATGAATCAACGATGTTTGAATCCCAAGTTTCTCAATGTTAGTATTTTATGTTATTCTATCAATATTTTGTTATTCTTCTATTTGAGTTTAAGTTTTGCTAAAATTGAATTTGTATTTGGTATTGAAGATGATGAAGAAGATGATGATGGAGTTGCGTTAGAAGAAATTGACATGGATTCCTTTAGAAGAAAATTAAATTGTGATTGAAGTTTGCATTTTGATACATTTCATGGTATTTTGATGTTTATGTTGTGAACTTTGTTTTTTTTGAAGACTAGAATCAAGATGTGGTGAATTAATTTCATGGTATTTTGTATATTTGGTACTTTGATTTAATGTTGAAAACTAATGTTTATTGATATTTTTGGTTTAAAGTTTATTTTTGTATTTTTTTGGAATATTTTAAAATTTTAAAAATACAATAATGATGTAATAATGACGTCATCCGGTTTTTTGGATCGGTCCGACCGGTTGATCAACCGGTTGACCCATCGACCCGATATGGCGGCCGGTTCGATGTCCGTTCCGGTTTTCAAAACATTGACCCTACCCTAAGCCCTTCATCAGAAAATAATAGGAAATAAGGCTAAACCAAACATTATCCGGCGATAAAATCTTAGTTATGTACAACTATGATGCACACACTAAGCAACTACATCAATGATGCCAATTTCATCTAACATACAAGAAATCCTCCTAGGCTATCAGGCATCATACATCGGGAAATTCTATCATGCAATTCCTAAAGATCCCTAGCCTACCACTAGCATGCAGCCCTATCATATTCATCAATAAAAAATTAATAGTGTGGGTAACTTGGGGGTAAACTTGCTTGCTCTGGCTGATCGTACACATCTCATCCTTCCTTGGTTACTTTTGAAAATAATTCAGAAAACAATTTTAAAACAATTTTGAAACAAATTTTGAAAACAATTTTGAAAACTTTTACAGATCCTTAGCTTGAGACTGGATTCACACGTCTGCTTATCCAATTCACTCAAACCAGGGCTTTGTAACATCCCAAAAATCATAGAAAAATTATTATTTTTCAAAATCAACCCAATGACCATAATTGTTTACAAAACATTGTTTCAAAAGTGATAGTAAAAAATCAGAATATCCCAAAATTCAAATAACATAAACTCTGAAGGATGTGCACGATAGCGCCTTCGCCTTGCCCCGATCATCTGAAGAACCTGAAACCATAACAAACAACTGTAAGCACGAAGCTTAGTGAGTTCCCCCAAAGTATCACGACACAAACATATAACCAAATAGATATCGGGTCCACAACCTCGTGGTTCACGCACATAGCAATAAAGCCTCAACCCGAGCCTTCAGCATGATTGGACCGCCTCGCAGGCCTATAGACTATCTAGACTGCTCTCAGAGCCTTCGGTCTGACTGGACCGCCTCACATGCCTTCAGTCAATTTGGGCCGTCCTGGGTGTCTTGGCCTTCAACACCAGCTAGTCTTCCTCAACCCAACAAACCATAACATGTTGACATGTACATAAAAGATAACATATAACCAGTTAACAAACCACAGGCAGATCTACAGATCACTACCGCATAGCAACATCCTATATACCAGGACACAGATCTAATAGATCACTACACCATAACAACATCCTCTATACCAGGATACATAAACTAATGGCCCGTAACTAGTGCCTTCGACCTACAAGAACAACGAGGAAACTCACCTCTCAGTCCGAACAAATAGTTGAATAGGTCTCTGCTCCGAATATAAGCTCTACCCATCACCTTCAAATGTTGTCAAATGATGTTGTTATTCTAGATCCAAAGTGTTCCACTTCTCCAAGATGATCTTCCCTTCTTTCTCCCTCCTTCAAGATCACCAAAACACACTCAAAGGCTCAAAAATGCTCTCAAACGGATTAGGGTTTACAAAGTGGTCGAAATGGAGTTGGAGGATGATGAAAGGAAGAAGATATGGGAGTTAAAGATGTTTAAATAGGGTCCAACCCCTAAAAATTAAAGTTTGCACCCTGGCCACTTATGCCCAGTTCCTGGAGGAACGCCTAGAGTTCCCATGATTAGCCCAAAAATTACGAAAATGCCATTATGGACCAATTTTTTAATTAACTCTCATCCAAGGGGTTAAAAGGTAAATATTGAAAAATCCAGATGTTACACCCCACCTCACCCACCCCCATCTTCTTCTTCCACAAAATTCTTCTTGTTGTTGTTCCTCGCCTGCACCACAAATCTCTTATTGTTGTTGTTACTCACCTGCACCACAAAGACAATTCCATATATGTTTGTGATATAAACAAGATTGTACAAGAATAATTAATTGAAAATTGTGGGTAATGGTAAAGATTAAGGAGCATCACAGAGTGAAATTGGTAACGAGAGAAGAGGATGAATAAGATCAAAACACCCAAATTCAAAGCTTTTTATACGAAGATTATAAAAACACCCAAAAGCACAAAAAGTGAATTCCTTTAAATCAAACAATTGAAATCTAATACTTAGGAGATTGGCCAAATTCCATACACCCAAACATCATTAAGTCAACCAACATAATCATTGCCAGTTCTCCATGATCTTGGACCTTTGAAAAACCTTTTCCACTTTTCACAGTCGTCCTTTTCATTTTCTTTTTAAGGGTGATTATCTCATTAATCATGACAGAGATATAGTAGTAAGAGAGAACAAGAATGGTTGTAGGAGAAGGTGTTTTAAAAGAATTCACCATTGCAGATCTGGAATGATGCCTAGAATAATTCAAGTTTTTTTCCTGTGGTATCCAATCGACGTTAAATAAAGAAGATTGGAGTTTTTGATACTGATGTTTGGTCAGAGAGCAAGAACTTTGACAACATTGGAATGGGAGCAGTCCCTAGCACGTCGATAAATGTCGGAGATGAAGTGGATTTGACAGAATACGATTTCTTGTGACTTTTTGTATGAAGTGTGGTGGTGGTATATATCTAAGATTTTAAGGGAGGTGACCGGAGATCTGACATGAGATGACAGAGATAGAAATGGCAGAGCATATATGGGCGATGATGGGGTGGTTAAAGGCGGTGGACGGTGGTGACTGGTGGTGGATAGTGGATGGTGGTTTGAGACATTAGTTCTTGAGTAAGGTGTTTTTTTTTTTTTTTTTTTTTTTTTTTTTTTTTTTTTTTTTTTTTTTGAGAGAGAGAGGTGGTCCCCACTTCCCATATTAATTATTAATAAAACATTAAATTAAATAGAAAAATATAAAAAATGTATTAGGAGGGCATTTTAGTCTCTTTTCAATTTTCCGAGGGACCGGAATCACAAGCAAACTAGCTCAAAAGGACCATGAAGCCCAAAAAGTCGATGTTTAGACTAAACCTCAGAAAAAATGCATACCATAAAGATCATTTTTGCAGTTTTGTCAAAAAAAATATTTTGATTTCATAAGCTTTTCTTTAATTTCTCTAAGTAGATTATAGACATAGGATTTAATCCACCATTGAAAGTGGCAATGACAAGGAAATTGCATATTAATTGGTTCGAGAAATACCTTTAAACACCAGGATGGAAATTGTTGAAGATGGCGATTTGAAAAAACTACTGACTATGACAAACTTTGGCGACGACGAAGCCCGATTGGCAGCAATGAAGATGACTTTGTGTTTTTGGTGACTATTTTGCATTTGTGATATCCTCCGATAGTTTGATTCATGTATTCCTAAATGGGAGAATTACAGCTAGGGTAATTATGGATATTTCTGATTATCTTATAATAATAATAATTAAAAATAAATGATTATAAAAATATTAAAAGTAGTATTTGGACAAATATGATATTTTAAAAGCTTATTAAGGGTATGTATGAAATTTAGAAATTAGAATAGAGAAATATGATATTTTACAATTTTATAAGGATGTATACAAAATTCTCCCTTAAAAATGTTACCTTGGTAGGCTTCTATAGCATGTAAGAGTTACTTGTTACATTTATAAAAATTTAAGGTCTAATTTAACAAAGACTCAATTGTGACCAAACCAAAACTTGGATTGTCAATTTTATCATTAGTCTTTTCTAAAAATATATCATCCTAAACCTTCATATTAAATTATGAACTAATGGATACTCCATGAAAATAGAAAAGAACATCTAGATGCCCAATAAAACAGTGAACTTCATACAAAGTCTAACCAAAAGACAACACTCGAAAGTAGAGATAAAACAAATGTATGCAACTAACTAACGCCTCCTCAGCATGGATGAAGGTGGTGATGGAATGGCGGGTGTCACCATGTGAATGACAATAACGTTCAAGTAAATCACCCGTTAAACTGCACTGCACACTTCCAAGTAAAATAGCCAAAGCAAGACACAGGAAGACTCAACCATCTTCCCGGATGCAATTACCAGGCAACAGGTATCTGTACTTTTCTACATTACTCAACAGATACGAAGGAAGATGAACTGCAGAATACGAATGAGGAATTGGACCCATCTTCCCAATAAGCTCCCTGAAAGTGTACTCTTCAGGAAGCATATCGTACAAATCCGCACCATTACAAATCACATCCTGAATCCTTTTCGGGTCAAGATAATGAGAAAATCTCACTCTATCTGTATGACTATAAGCTTTCATCTTGAACAAAAAATCACTTATCTTCCTAAAACAAAAACTACAATGCCATCCCGAATCCGCCAACAGGTAATCACTCTGCCGATAATGAACGTATCTCGTTTTACCCTTTTGATACTGATGAACAGAAGCCCTCCAGCTTTTATGATCCAAATTAAACTCGAAAGAATACAAATAATTGTTCAAATTCAAATGAACAATCGGCGGTGGGCCATCGCACCATCTCAAAAGATCAATCGTATGAGCGCTAGGAATCTCGTCCACATCAGACATAATCAAAAGATCATCATCTTCAATCCCGGCGATTTTCAGAAGATGATCGAGACCTACCCTCTGATACGCCTCTTCGATAAACGGGTTTTCACCTTTTCTAAATCTCCCGCCGATTGTCCCGTAAGTCAACCTTGACTCGATAAAGTCAAACTTTTCTCGATTGATTGCGAAATTGAGGCGTTTGGGGATGCTTGTGAAGGTGGAGTTTGATTCGAGAAGAACGAATTGAGTTATGTAAGGGTAGATTTCTTTCCATCTGATTGTAAGCATGTCGACTTCGTTGCTAAATAAGACTGCATCGTATACCCTTCTTGGATAATCGCGAAGCTCCCAACCATGGAGTTTGCAGAGGGAAGCCATTGATACGTTTGCGTGATAGTAGTGAGGGATGTGGATGAAAGACTTGGGTGGTGACTGCCATAGAGGGCGGAGAAAGTAGGTGACTTTCTGGCCATGAAAGTAAATTCCGGCAACCGCAGATGGAAGTAACACGAGTAACACTATGAATGTCTTCAACTCCAAACTTTGGAAAATGCATCGGATTCTCGACATTTTGCTTGCCACCTGTACGTTACAAAGCCATGGAAGCAATTTCAATTTTCAAATGCCCTTTCTTTTCGTTTAAAATTTCATAATGCATCCAAATTCCAAAAATCAATTATTTAAATAGCAAACTACAGTCGCTTTAACCGCTTTAGGCATTTACATCAAGAAAAAACACATATTTGGCATTATACAAAAAAACTATATTTTTATGACTCAGAAAAAAGCTAAAAGAACCCCCTTTTTCCAATGCAAAAAAAAAAAAAAAAAAAAAAAAAGTCTACTGAATGAACAAATAAAGAAAAGAAATAACATGAACATATGTCCAGTAACAAGAATCTAAAGATCAATCTTAAACACATTGTTACAATTCATAAAAAAACCTAAAATCCCGAATTCGAAAAAAAAACACCCATTTTTTTGAAGAAATTTGACGAATCCAGAAGATAATAACATACCTTACCACATAATCCATCACTCTTGTTGGAGGTTGATAAATCATCGGCAACCATGAGGTCTCAAATCAACAGCACATAAATATTAAATCTATAAAAAATGAAAATGCCGATTATGAGACCCCAACTTAAAAATCTTATGAATTTACAGAAACCCTGATCAAACCCTGTTTAGTGTTTTCGAATGCAAAAAATTTCCCCCAGTATCCGACCAAAGTATTAGGGGTTCATTCCTCGATAATCTTATTCAATCTTCCAGATTATTAGCCATTTGTTTCTTCATTGTCTAGATATAAGTTCTGTCTCTTTCTATATATATAGTGCAGTCTCGTTTTCCTCACGCTGTCTCCTAAAATCGAAATAGCCATCGAAATAAATCTAAAAGTCTCAAATAAAAAGCATAGGCTTTTCCCATGTGGAATTGTACTCGGTAGTCTACATGGACCTCTCTTACTTACCGTTCCATTTGTCACATGAGGAGTTTAGTTGAGAGATGGAGAAAGTCTAGGCTAACTACCGTGAGGTACGGGGTTGGAGATCGGTAACATAACGTGGAGTAGATTACGGTTTGCGTAAATTACATGAATGGTCCCTATGGTTTGGGGTAGTTTACATGCTAGGTCCTTAACTTATTTTTTTAACTCGGAAGGTACCTACTGTTTGTTTTTATTACACGTTTGATCCCTACTGTTTGTTTTTGTTACGCGTTTGGTCCCTGTCCTACAAAAAAAAATTATTATTTAAATAGGGAAAAATGGTGGTGTATGTAAGGTAAGGTGAGGGGTGAGATTAGAAGTGTGTTTATTTAAATAAACTAAAAAATCAAGAGCAAAATAGTTCATTTAAGTAAGATAGGGACCAAACACGTAATAAAAACAAACAGTAGGGACCTTCCGAGTTAAAAAAATAAGTTAGAGACCAAACGTGCAAATTAACCTAAACCATAGGGACCATTCGTGTAATTTACTTTTACAGTTATAATCTATGAGGGTTATATCATATGCAATTTCACTCTAATTTTTTATTTTATAATTTCTAAAAATTGCATTTACGATCCCTGAATTCGTTATCATTTAACAAGTTTTACAGAAATTTCCTTTGTTTTATCTTTTTCTTATTTTCTTATTTTCTTTATTTTTATTTAATTTTTTTAAATAAAAAACCATCAATTACCACCACTCACCACCACCAACCACCTGCCGCTAAAAAACCAACCATATATTTCAACTGTCATCAGCATTGTTGCCATCTTTTAAAAGCAACACCATGCAACCACCACCACTCACAATCACCATTTTCACTAACATCACTGTCATCATCACCACCACCACTAACCTCCTTCACACTATTATCACCAACGTTGTCAAACAGAAACATCTAAACTAAAAAATGAAAATCCTAACTCATAATCAAAACAAAAACACTAACTCACCACCACCATTTAAACTATACTACCCCTCCATCATCAATAGAATCATCGCCACTAAATGAAATTTTCTAAATCTAAAATCAAAACAAACAATGATAGATGAGAAATAGACCAAGAGAGGAAGATGGTGTTATAGTTGAGAGAGAGAGAGAGAGAGAGAGAGAGAGAGAGAGAGAGAGAGAGAGAGAGAGAGAGAGAGAGAGAGAGAGAGAAACGATGGTCAGAAGGAGGGCGTTGTCGTTGACATCAAATGTGACATCAAACATAATCTGGCTTAGGTGATGTTGTCGTTTGGAGCTGCTAAGCAATAAGACGAAGAGAAAGCGTGAAGCCTCAAAGCTTTAAGGCTTCTTTTATTTGATTTACAAAGATCGTCACTAAAGTTTAGTAATATGTTAAAATATCATAAATTACAAAAATAACAAAAATATGGTTATATTCGTAATTTTACAAGCATTTAAAGAAGGAAAATTGACCGTAACATTCTCAGAGGGGACCATGCGTGAAATTTACGAAACCCATGGGGATGATCTATATCAAAAACTCAAAATTAAACTAAAAATGCAGATAAATGTAAATCATAGGGACCAAAAATGTAAATTACACATAAATATTTGAATTATAACTAAAGGGCGGTTGATTAGTGGGGAACCTTTTGCTCACTCCCGGACTGCCCCCACGTACGAACGGAACGGGTGGTGGGTTGGTTTCTTTAAGAGTTTGAAAATTTTCAATTTAGGTCCTCTAACTTTATAATGTTCTACCTACTTACTAGTTCCTTATTAAGATTCGTAGCAATGCGATTACGGGTGCAAACGAACCAAACTACTCATAAGCTACTCATGATCAACTCGTCGAAAGCTCGACTCAACACCAATTTTAAATGAGTCTGAGTCGAACTCGAGCTTAATATTAACCTTGTTTACTAAACGAGCTCGAGTTCGAGCCTATGTTTCTAAGTTTGATTAGGCTTGCGAGTCTAAATGAGTCTATATATATATATATATATATATATATATATATATATACACACACTATAATAAATAAAGATAATTTTGTCACATGTCAATCTCTAATGAGTTTTGACACTTATCATTTTATGATATTTTTTAAATAAATAATATCCATATGTTAATTTATGGTTTTTTTTTCAATTTTAAAATTAAAATGACACATAATACTTATACTTATATATGTAAACTATTAAATGTAATAAATATTATTCTAAATTGCTATTAATGTGTTTCTTATTTCAAAATTTTATTTTAAAAAATATTTATTATTTACATTTTAATATTTTGTTTTTTTTAATCAACCCGTATAATACACAGGTTTTACATCTAGAGTTGAGTCGAGCTCGAACCCGAGCTGAGCTTGTATAACTCTTTACGAGCTAGAGTTGAGCTTAGTAAAATAAAGCTCGAATCGAGCCTAACTTGAGCTCGAACCCGTATAACTTAAACGAGCCTGAGCAAAGCTCGAATCGAGCCTAACTATGGCTAACAAATAATCATTAAACAATTTTTATAACAATAACTACAATTGTACTTGTCGATTTTGTACAAAATAACTATCGTTTGCGAAGTGTAATTTTCATGTATTATATATATAGTTTAAATTACTATCCGTTACAAATTTATAGTCAATCTTTTTTTTGGTTTGTACCAAAATAATAGTCTATTTTTAAAAATAAATGATCATTTTACTAAAATACCTCTTATTATTACTTAATCAACTAGCACGAAATAACTACAAAGAAGAGTCAATTTTTTTCCTTACTTCGTCTTGTTTAGTACTCATTTGAACGGTTTGTTTTCCACTTTCAAATTGCAAATAGAAGTCATATTTTTTTTCCTCCATGCGGTTTTTTTCTAGTATTTGAATGGTTGTTTTTTATTTTTTTCACTTTCCAAATTGCAAAGAAAAGTTACATTTTATTTTTCTTGCCTTATGTTTTTTAGCACTAGAATGGTGTTTTATTTTTTCATTTTTCAAATTGCAAAATACAACATGCTTACGATTGGATAACAAAATGCTGAATTTTCGTTACATCCAACATGAAGTGGTGAAATCGTGTCTTTAATATATATATATATATATATATATATATATATATATATATATATATATATATATATATATATATAGGGTTAGATTATTTTGTTTCTTACATCTATTGTGTGCCCGTAAGCACAATTCTGGACCGATAGATGAATAAAATCAGTGGTCATGATCTGAGGGTCTACGATATTACAATAGGGTAACATGTACCATATAATCACTAAAATTTAATTAAAAATGTATTTTAGACAATTAACTATATTTAAAAAAGAAAATTTTCGAAATTAAAGGGATAATTCTAATTGTTTTTTTTAAATTAATTCAATTTCAATTCTAATTTAGTTTGTAATCATAACTGATTATAACTTATTTTATTCTGTCCGAATACGATTCTATTAGAATAAAATTTTGTTATAATAACATTCTGTTAGAATAACAGTTTATGACATCCTTTTAAGAATACATAAATAAGAAGAACACTTGAATAAGTACATTATGAAACAATATACAAAATCGATTCTTGAACTAATAATATATCAAATAATTATATTTCATGATTGTGATACAAAAAGAATATTCTTGAATAATAACAACATTATGAAAGAATAACAAGTGTAATTCTTAAAAAACAAAAACATTCTTAAACTGTGAGTATGATCAATCTTCGATTCATTATTCACGTCATTCCTATAAGGTCTTCAAACCATTCCTATCACAAATGCAACAAAAACATCAAAATCAAAAAAAAAAAAAAAAAAACTATTCTGAAAGAATAATGTTGCTAAGATTCATTTTACACATTCTGGCGAAATACATTCTACTATAAGACACTCTTGTTCTCCATATTTTCTTTCTTTTCCACATGAATGACAAACTCTTCCAAACCTAAAAAGAAAAAAAAAATCATTAAAATCTAACAAAAACACTAATCTATTCTAAAATAATATTATTGATAAGATTTGTTTTATAAATTTTGGCAGAAAACATAAACTACATTCTGTTAGAATACAAACATTCTAAAAGAATGGATTTATATAAATAAATTCTGACAGAATACACATAATTTCATTCACACATCATACTCAACTTTCACATCATAATAGATTAATTTCTTCTAAAAAACAACACCAATTGGGTTTTTTTTTATACATTGCAGGAGAGAAAAAGTAAAAAACAAACATTAATGATATTATACTGAGAATTACAAGTTTAATAATGCATAGATTCTTCAAAATCTTGATATATATATTCTGGTAGAATACATAGAATATGGCAGAATACATGGGATGCTGATTGTAAAAATTACTAGAAAGTATGTTTTAAATATGGAATTAGTCAATTACCGAGAATTTGGCTTGAAACATCTCTTATGCTTTCTAACTATTGCAATTGAGAGATGAGATGATAAACTTTTCTGGTCACCAGTGCCATTGGACGTCTCCATTGCAAAAAAGGTCACTTCAGGTTCGATTTCGTGCAACACGGGGAGCATGCTATGTGCCCATTCTCACACTACAACTAAAAAAACATGTTATGATTAGTACAAGAGCATAGCAGTATTCAAATA